AACAACATCATATCCGGGGTTTTATAATCATAGTTTCATGTAGGTATACGTTCGGATATAGAGTATACATGATATATTACATGATATATTTAAACCACCATAACCATGACATATAAATGTGATTCGTCAGAATAATAGCGTAACGGCAGATATATTATAATAAAAAAAATGAAGAACATGTATTATAAGTATAACAAATAAATACTGCAAAAAATATATATTATTGATCATAAACAGTAAGGTACACTAAAAAGAATTTTAAGAGAGGGTTACATAAAGACAAAGACAAAACAATAAATAAATAAAGTAACGGGATTAATCAGTTATTATGTACAAAATGAAAATGGAGAACCACTAGATGTAAAACCGTCGAGCAAAACTAGGTAGAGCATACAAAATTGTTGCGGGGGCGGGATAGGCAGCTCTGTGATTATTTAGCCAATTCTAGTCACATTAGGAAATATTAAACTTTCTTCACTCATAGCAAAACATTACATTTTAAACAGTTTCTTGTAGCCGTATCCAACACATAGCACAAAGACAAAAAAACCCTCACACAACTCGACACCAAACATGGATACTACAGACAAACCGGAGTTGCCCACTGAAATGGAAAGTCACATTGCAGCGTTTCTGGGGTTTTGCTGATTGTAGTTTTTTACCTGATAATGGAATTATATTTTTTATAAGGTGATTTAATTATGGTTATAAGATTTTTTCGTGAAAGGATGGAATATCCTTTTTAAGGATATAGAAAAAAAACGCTGGTCAATACTTTATCATTTGTTTTAGATTCGAGTTTTGAAATGTGAGATTTGTTTAATAGCAAAAGAAATAATAAAAGGACACCCAATAAAAGGACACCCAACGGTAATAAAATGTATCATCAAAACCTACTGACTGCAAGTTGTCAAAATCAATAGTCATGTACTGAAAAAACACCAAACATTTAATGAATAGTTTATCGTACGTCTGTGGTCGAGTGACCATAGCTGAATATATCTTTATACTGCAAGACTGAACAAAGTAACAATTAATATGATAATAATTATTGTTCTTTGATAACTTTTCGAATGAAGTATTAAACAGTCTTGTAGTTAAACGATTGGAGTTATCACTGCTCTGGCAAACTGACCCAGCATCACCACCCGCCTTGAAATCTTAACTAAGATCAATTTTGTCGAAAAAAGCCACCAGTTGGATAGGATGAAAATAAAACTTCGTGACTCCTTAAAGTTTGTTTTGTAATCTAGTTCGAAGTATAATATTATACGATACGCTGTTGTCTACGTCAACTGAATTGATCCACGGTGAAATTTCACACGCGTAATGTAAGTCTGAAAGGAAATGAGAAAGTGTTTGTTATTTTTTAAAACAATCAGTATTATTGACATAAAGTTTCCGGTGGCCTTTTGACTCCAGTGGTTAGTATGACCTATAGTGATCACTGGTCAGTTATTCTGGTCAGCTGATGTCTGGTATCGATTTGTAACAATATACATATTATATAGGAATACACGATATTCTCTTTACCGAAACCTTGGTCAACGGTCACTTCATTTATTATGTAATTGACTACTCGTTCATTTAATATTCAATGGTGGGTTCATTTATTATACCACTGATTTCACTTTTCATTTTACCAGTCATATCATTGATTATATTACCCACCCAATCATTCATTATTCCCATTCTACCATTCATTATACCACTCACTATGTGATCCATCATCATTCATTATACGCATTCTACTATATGCACCACTCAATGCATCATTCATAACACCACCTATTGTCCCATTTTTATTCATTGGAATATTTCTATCACATCTATTCATTATAACACATATACCATCATTTATTGGACTATTTCTATCACACCTATTCATTAAACCACATATACTATCATTCATTGGAATATTCTATCACACCTATTCATTAAACCACATATACTATACCATTCATTGGAATATTTCTATCACACCTATTCATTAAACCACATATACTATACCATTCATTGGAATATTTCTATCACACCTATTCATTAAACCACATATACTATACCATTCATTGGAATATTTCTATCACACCTATTCATTATACCACATATACTACCATTCATTGGAATATTTCTACACATATTCATTATAACACATATTCTACCATTCATTATACCACAAAATATAGTACCATTGGTTGGAATAGTTCTATCACACACATTCATTATACCACATATTATACCATTCAGCATACTACATTACTGCATTATTCATTATATACCACCCATACTCCTTCCCTGTGTTATACTTATTCACTGTATTCATTTACTGCACCACTTACGGTGTCATCCAACTGTATTATCCATTAGATAATTCACTAACACATCCGTTATATCTTTAAAATATCGGTTTATTGCATCGACTGAGTACACAATTATTCATATCATTTAGTTTCACAACCATTAATATTTAATTAAATAGATAGGTATGAGTATTTTCAATTATACACGGGACACAAATAGATCGCAACGCATATAATAATGTAATATGAATTTATATAAACTGATTTACATGCAATCATTTCTGTTTTTACTGTAATTTCTAATCAGTTATGTTCGATGAAATACGCGAAGAGTTCAAATTGAGTAGCATTCTTTTACACCTATAGTAATCTCCTGCGGGATATGTATAGCCTCGTTCATCGAGTCGCTTCATTACAAATGGCGTTTTAAAGCATTCTGTTACGCAATTCGTGTGCCAATTTTAAAATACTGGATATCAGAAGCCCATCTTTTCACGGTAAGATAACAACATCAATGTTGATTTAAATTGACAAATAATTCGTGTTTTCATTGTCCGAAGACTGTGGATGATACTGAGTAAGAGACTTATCGCCTTTAAAATTATCAATGTCGAAAATATGCAGTTTATACTATCATTCTTCCATTATGTATACACATAATAATATTGAACGTTACGATTAACATACGGAAACATTCTTTGTTAAATTATTATACCAAGTAATTTAATTTTAATGGATCTGTTTATTATTTTTTGTCAAATAACGACACGTCAACCTACAATTTGATAGTGAAATAAATAAGATTTGAGTTCATCAGAACACATAGAGGTCAAACGTGAGATGACTTTCATAGTACATTCTAAATATACATTTTTTTATATAACGCAATGGTTTAGATTATCGACCTACCCGCGGGGTTAATGCTGACAACAAATTAGCTAGCCTAATTGGCACAATAAATACAACGCCTTGAAAAACAAAGAATTAACAGTTCCAGATAAGAACTGGGTGTATAAAAGAGTTGGTCCGTGTTATTAATTTGTTTGTGTGCGATGTGAATACCGTAGTTAGAATATCCAGTTATTTAATGCACAATTTAAAAGCAATTTTATGTTGAACTCGTTTACTTCAGTAATAGAATAATTCAGTAGGTATATCACACATTTTATGTTCCGTCGTTCAAAACCTAGCATTTAGTCCTGATACTTTACAGTGTTGACTAGTTCTGTTTGAAACTGGGGACAAAAAAAGGCTGTCTATGTTCTCCGAAAGCTGAAAAAAGTTAATACATTAAGAGCACCATATAATAATTAAAAGAGATGCTTTCAACTTTAGATCTTTTCATCACCCAAGTACATTAAATGACATATAATTTCACGGCTTTGCACCTTAATAAACTATAATGTACCTAGATCTGTCTTATGTCGACTTGTTGATAAGTACTGGTTTACACTTGCGTGTCAAACTGGGTGTCGACTTTTAGACAACGTTTTATATATGGTCTAATACACTAATGATCACTGAAGTATGAACTTGCATCTATATTTATAACATTCATGTTCTCTCTTTTAGGCCTTTTTTAACATTACCATTATCGTTTTATCTGTAGGTTTATATTTACACAAACTTTTACGTATAATCGTCATTAATGAATATAAACTATATCTACTGAGTTGTTACGGTTATATTTGTACACCATGTGGGATTTCAAAGAATTATTTATTCCCTTAGCCATAAAATATTCATCCATATGTTATTGATTTAGATATTGACTATGGTGAAAACATTCCTAAATTGGAATACTTGATTACAAAATAGCTTGTTTTATTCAGATAGATATATCTGTATAAAACAATGTATATATGCATGATGTAATGAAGGGAAGCAACTTCAATTATAGAGTTATTCCCCCTTTGTCTGCAAGGTGTGTGATATCCGACGGACATATTTCTGGAAAGTACTGAAAATTGCGTATTCTGTAACACTTTGTAGACAAAAAATTGTTAGAATAAAGAACATTGAACTATATTTAATTTTATTTAGAATCAACCAATGGGCATTCAATCTTTTATAGAAAAAAAAATGGGATCAAAACAGATTTATATGCATGTTAGACATATCATTATTTCTGGTATATTCACAATTCATATGTGGAATTCTAATGTGGGCATTTTTTGTCTTTTTTTAAAAATAACTGTGATCTTTCAGCATTTACTAATTATAAAGCCAAAATTAATTTAAATTACAAGGTGATCTTATCATGTCGAGCATTAAATCTGGCAAGTGCGTGGCTATATATTTTCCGTCCACAGTTATTCAATAAGGACCTAAAATGAAATGAAATGAAATAGGGTTTAACATCCTACTGTTCTGCTGCAATTGGGCTAATGAAGATGGGCAGACGCCATACAGTATGCTATGAGGGAAATTTTGCCTGGGCAGCGACACATGCCAATTGTACACAGGACCTTGTTTTTCTGTCCCATCCGAACGACTACACAGCTGTCCTTGTCAGCCCCTCCGTCCTGCACCGCTGACAAGGGGAAACCACGCCAGAAAATCCCAATGAACTTTCTCAGCCAACACCTTGATTGAACGAGCAACCTCCAGGCTAGCGAGCCAGCGGTTTACTCACTTAGCCACCGTGGCTCCAAGGACCTAAACAATCACAAGAACATATTAATAACTATTAAAAGAAAAGAGATTTGTAGTGTTATTTTATTACTGTATTACATCTAAATTACATACATAATACATGTACAGATTGAGTAACAAAATACCCAACAAGATATAATTACAGCTGTATCTATCAACAATTATAAAATCAATATAACTAATAGCTAATGACTAATATTCCATATGGTGATATAGTGGAATGATTTAGAATTTGCAGTTAAAATATTTTACATTTCATATCAAGCTAGTTTATACAGGTTCTTAAACAACTTATTAAAACTTAATGTCATTTTCGTTCCAAGTATTCAATTAGTCATTCTATTAATATCTAAAGAAATGTTTAAGAAAACAACATTCTAGTCCTGTGTTGGCGACATTGTAATACCTTTAGACAACTGATCAAATGTCTTGATAATTAAAGCTTTTCAAAAGAATTCTCTGAATTTTCTGTATGACAGTATTTGATAGAGAGCTTAATTTGGAATCGACCATTTACAATCGAGATCATTTATTTATACCACCAGTGTTTTGAAAATTGACTACTTTTTTTTAAGGAGTGACCTTTTTATATTGCTAAATATCGTCATAAATAATTCATTATACATGTACTGACATTTATACAGATTTTACGATATGGTGTCATGGGTTTTTCAACCCACATCAATATATTAATGAGCAGAAATATATTGGCAATCATTTCAAAATACCGTAGATACAATCCAATAATGAGAGAGAGAAATGGGGTTTAACATCCACTCGACACAAACTAGGTCATTTTGAGACTAACACATGGTTCAATTTTATTTCAATAATTTGCTTGCGCGTTTGGGTCTTTAGCAGTGGGAGGAAACCTGAGGACCCGGAGAAAACCCACAAGGTTGGACAGTCGACCCTACTCCTTGTCACGTACAACCGGGGATTCAAACCCATGCCAGTTGACTCAATGACAGGCCTTATGATACTGCACGCACGTGCTAACCATTCGGCCATCCTATCCCCCCCCCCAATAATGCATTATATGGTTATTTTACAATATCAATAATGCATTAAAGATATATTATGTAAGATTTAGATAAAGAGCTGGCCGTTCTTGCTATATATTTCAAGAAAAACAATGAAAAATGAATATATTGAAGATGTTATTCAAATTACTTTATTCTGAGCGAAGTTATGACTGTTTGAAGTTTTGACATGATTATTTTTACATATCAATTATTCATTAAATGACTATTTTACAATACCAATAAAGCAATAAATCTCTATTTTACAATATGCCTATTTTACAACATCAATGTCATTTTCATATAATAACAAGATATTATAAAAGTGAAAATTATTGTACAGGACTAGTGACAATGAATCAGGTTTCCTCATGGTTCTGTAAGTCAACATTCCTGATAACAGACAGGTGGGGATTCATGAGGTAAATGTTTCAAAAGAGGTGATTGAAGGAGGAATTTAATATTTATATTCAATTGGCACATGTTTGCCATTTATAATTCCAGAATATTCGATAGAATAATCCAAACATATATACATGTTTTTCAAGAGTAATGTGAGAATGTTAGATCAGAGGTTCTCAGATTAAAACATAGTTTATATTTATCTTCAATTATCATATCAAATAAGGATGGATTCTCTGGAGGACTTTAAAATCATCTACTGGACCTAGAAAACTTACTTTTATATGAAAATATCTTTATTTCCAAATGAACAGGAAGATTTATTATAACTAGGAAATTCCAGATTTATAACTAGGAAATTCCAGATTTATAACTGTTAAATAACTAGTAAATATTATAGTTAAATAACTAGTAAATATTATAGTTAATATGTATCTCCACCATCATATGAATCCACCTTTAAATAATAGAAAACATAAATATTACAATGAATAATAAAAATACACTATATTTTACATGTACATTATATTAGTTTAAGCCTAATATAGTCATATACATACAAATAATAAAAGATCTTTAATAAGAATACATACATTTTTAATAAATCTTAACTCTTTAGGTACCAGACTCAAAACGTGAAAACGACACTAACATAATAAAGCTTCTTGATACTCATCTTCAATAGAAGGCTTGATCTCGCTTTAACTAGGTACATCTTGTCTACCTGTGATAATCGAGTTGCAAAGTTCAAGGTTCATTCAATGTCAAGGTTTCCGTGGAGGTCGCGATGTCACAACCTCTGACTGGACGCTACTGCTCACGTGTCTGTAGATAACATAGCTATAAGTTCGGGAATTGTGAAGTAAACAAGCAACGACCAGATGTTGTGAAACTCGCAGTCGTTGCTTCAGGAACATGCTTGATACTGTGATTACAAAACATCCTGATAGCAACTACTAAGCTGTTACATTGAATGTATATTGAGTAGACAATGAAATAAAAACTGAAAGTGTTTCTTCTGCCATTTGGTGATGATTAACATGGGTCAAGTCGATAGTGGGCGATTTGAAAATTCACGAAACAATGTTGGAGACTTGGTACCCAATGAGAATATACATATAACAATATTTTCTGTTACTGCACAACCCCATAGTTTATGTTACAGACATTATATACATTTTATCATTGACTGACTAAAGCATATGTACATATTTAAAGACATAATTAACATATTCTTCAACTGAACTATTTTTAATAATAATGTTATAAGAACGTGTATATCTGTAAAGAATATTATACTTTAATTAAAAACACAACCCTTCAAATGATTATACTTTTTTTTTATTTAGGTCAACGTAAAATTTACATTTTCAGTGGATTTAATGCATTGATTTGTTTTGAGGGATGGTCATTTTCTTCGTTAAAAATGTTATGTCTATAAAGTCAGTGTTAAGATATAATCGATTTCGTGTTCCACTGTCGACACTCAACAAGCTGAATTCCACTTAATCTTTAAAACAGAAATTTAATTGGAAAAAGCTTGCCCCATCACTCATAAAAAATAATGCATCAGATCAACCCAATTCCATATTTTACTTTTATCTGATTAAAACAGGTTTAGTAGCTCCTTTAAACTATTTTTAATAGGTGGAATATTATTTACAAGGGGGGGGGGGGGGTGCAGCGAACAGCAGCTTGTTTTTACTGTTTTCTACTCTAGTAATTGTGGAGTACATATTGAGTATACTGGTATATATTTATATACTGTTCATTTTTATAATTAATTTTCATTATATCACAGTGGTAGGTTGCTTAAACTTTTATGTTTAAATGCTAACTGATGTCGTTTAAAAGCCTTATGTTTAGCTTGAACTTGCAGGAAATGTTGCAGAAGTTCGTTGAAGTCAATTTTTCCAACCAATGGCCGTTTATCCACATGTTTTCTATTTTCATTACTGTAAGAAAAAAAATATGTAATATATTAAATCACATCAAATTTTCAATGTCAGTTTGATTTTTTAATTGTCACATCAAAACTTCAATAATGATAAATCCATAATATTATATCTAAATATTCTATATACATAGTTTAAGATTAAACAGTTATTGAATTGGGTTACCCATCACAGCTCATTTAATAAATAGCTTGTTCCTTAGTATAATTAAATAAATAACATTATTTTAAAAGGATAAACATTGAATCTAATCCTTTAGTGGTATTTAGCATTAGGGAACATAACAAAACTAGACCAATTATATGGGACAACAATCACCAATTTATACGGGCACAATGTTTCCAGAACACCATCAAGCACAATTGACTGTCACTTAGTAAACTGAAAGGGACGCACTCTTGTACCTAGTGAAGCTGTCCCATATAACTGTGTTAGTTTTGTTTTTTTGATCATTCTTCTGTATCAAATAATAAAAAACAAGCCAACAGTGATGCTGATGTCCCCCGCCGAAATCCCAAAATAAATAGATGACACATATTAATTAATTGCACATTTATTTTTTTAAAAGTATCAAGCAATCAAACTGATTATCAGCTATACACAAAGTTTCATCACTTTCTATCAGATAGAATCAAAGTTATTTTGTCCCAAAACATTGACCAATGAAATTGATTAGCACCGCTTAGCTTTAGCTCGAAATGTTTATCATTGTACTCAGTCAAGACATTCACCTAATGAACATCTACATCAAGTTTAAACATTCTACCTCAATTAAAAGCAGGGTTGTTATGTTCCAAAGTCTTGACCAATCAAATTGCTTATCGCTCCTTAGCCTAATCAGAAAAGTCTCATCATCAAACTTAGTCAAGGTAACGATATATTCAATCTATACACAGAGCTTCATCACTCTCACTTAATTAAAACTAAAGTTATCGGGACCCAAAGCATCAACCAATCAGATTGCTTATTTCTGCTTACCGTAAGCAGACAATGTTTATCATTGAACTCCATCAAATCATTGTGTTCCAAAGTCTCAACCAATCAAATTGTTTATCGCTCTGCTTACCCTGAGCAGAAAATGCTCATTATCGAACTTAGTCAAGGTATTGATATTGATGTAATGAAACTATATACTGGACGGACGGACAGATAGACAGACAGACAGACAGACAGACAGACAGACAGACCAATTTGAACAGACAGAAAGACCTATTTGAATAGTCCCCTGGTTTTTTTGAAAGGCGAGGGACAAAAAACATCAATAGATCTTGTACTTGTATAATGATAATACCACAAGTTATTTTCTTTGTTACACTATAATAATTTATATAAATTCATTAGACGGATACGTAAGTTGGGTATAGTCATTATTCATAAACTGTAATACACTACATTTATATCAAACTATTAAATTGTTCAAAAACAAAATTATATTACTAATTTAATTCATGTGATGAAATCAATATTTTACTGACTGGGTGTGATAGCAAATAATTGTCTAATAAATCGATTATTTATAGGAGATAAACACCAAATAACATTTAAATCATTCTATCAAAATCAATCTGTCCTAGTTAAATTTAATCCATTTGTCCTGTTCTAACCACAACCTAATAGTAAGTGCAGGAGGACCACACTACACGTAAAACAAAAATCTACAAGATAAACCTGCGGACAAGACAAGACACTGCACCAAATAAACAAATATTTTGTACTGTTCGAACCATAACCTAACATGTTAATATTTTCTACTGTTCAAACCAAACTAACAAATTAATATTTTGTACCGTTCAAACCTCAAGAGGTTCACAATTAGATTTACAAATATAATGTAAATCTAACTACACCATTTGGTTTATATTAGAGGTACGAATCATAAATAAAACACTAAAAAAAAGGTTTATAACACTATACTATCTAAATTAGGATTTAGATCAGTTTTAAAACTTGACATGGACTGGTCTAGCCTATAAGTTGATATTTAACTTCTAATACAACTAACCTGATAGGTTGATATTTAGGTATACACTCTAGTCTATAATGTAATAGTTTAAAAGCCTCTGATTGTGGTAATAACATCAATAAACCATATAAACTATGTATTAAATCTTGATTATTATTTGTATCTAATAACTGTAACCTTAAATCTAAAATAAATAAATAACATACATGTATATTCATAGTTAGAATCAAATTGCAATGTTTATGACTATCTGCATGATTTTAAAAATCTTTATAGCAGAAGCCATATTTTATTCACCAGTAGAGCAATTTTGAAATATTTCAATACAATAATGAATAATAATGATTTTTGTATATGAATTTGAAGCTAATGCAAGAACAAGAACGGAATTTCATGGCATCACCACGTGTAAGATGTTATCTCTCGATCTATTTCTTATGGTAAAGAGAAATGTTAATATAATATTGGAATGAACAAAGTACTTACACGCAAATATAGGTGATTCTATTAACTGTATAAGTTTATCTATTTCTTTTAAAAAGTCGACAGTTATCTCTAAGTCACCACTTGATCAAGTTAGGGATTTAACAAAATTTGTTAAATGACAGACAAACCTATATGTATTATTAACTTGATTATATAAATATAAACAACGAGACTCACTCATTCATCAACATCTTGTACCCTTGGACATATAAGATATATAGCAAATTTTATCAGGCATCCCAATTAAGCTACATGGTTCATTTACATCCTACCACCACCATTGTTTTTTAAAATTACATTACAGAGAGATATCCCCTGTTCAAGATGTATGAATGATGCTAGTTGAAATGTACTTGGATTAAAATTATGTACCAAAAACTAGGTCTAATTCAATCGAAACACAAAAGTAATGTTTTAATTAGCAAAAGGCACAACTACTATACATGTAATAGGTTGATGAGTGTACAAAGTTTCATAAAAATATCTTGAACGGTTTATGCGATATGTGCTTGAATAAAAATTGCATATCCAAAACCAAGCCATACTGATTAAATCCAAGAAAGTTTCTAATTATCAATAGGCACAACTACTATAACAGGTTATTAGATATGCTCTGGAAACAAAACAATGACGGAAGGATGTCATGGATGGATTCGATGAAGCCCCTTTCAATATTAACAACAGATTTAAAAAGTTCATATCAATCTCTTCTCCTATTAGTTTTACAAAAGGATACAATGTATGTAGTAGTTTACTAGCATGATGATAATTCTGACTTAAATAACATAATGACATGGTAGCTATAGGACTATGACACCAACATTTATATAAACATACAAATAATGAACAACTCTCCTAAAATAAAATAATAAACATGTTATTATATCAGCACAATATCTTTTTAAGTTCCAAGAGAAACTACCGAGTATTCAGAGTCTGAAAATAAATGAGTTAGCTTCTTGATTGAATTCAGTTATTTAGTGTTATTTCATAAGTCTTAAAAAAAATGAGAGGCTGACCATTTCTGGAGGGAACCGCTATATTGCTTGTGAAGAATCATGCAAAGTATTACCATTACACTTGAAACAGTGGTCAAGATATAGAGTGTAGTGCAGAATATTGCCACCACAGTCACGGATACGATATACGTATTGTGATTTTGGTATGAATAAAATTGTTATTTTAATTCCTGCCCACCACGAAGAAATAAGACTGGTTTGTATCACCATACTGATGTGATCAAAATAAGGTCCAAAATAATTTAAGAGTTTTTGTGTACCTATGGATAATGTAATTAAGAGTAAAGGTTATTGACTGAAGTGACAAAAAAATATAATAAAGAATTACGATATATTGATTCAGGTATATGGGCAGGACCCTAATCAATTTCAAAGAAATACAGGCTACACTTCTATAAACAGTAAGTTTACTAAAGCAGAATCACTTGAGTCTAAATAATTTATTATTAAACAGTTTCAACTAGAACATGTCCCTGAGATTGTTCATTAATTAACTGAAGTTTTCACCTGATTTTTTAAATCTTTAAGTAGAGATCGTAAGTCAAATAGTTCTGTAGAAGTGAGTAATATTGTGTTGAGTGTTTGAACCATAGTACAACAAAAATTCACATCTTCATCTGTCTCTAGTATTTCTGCTAAAGCTCGAAATATTGCTTCTGCGCTGAGGTATACTGATAACTGCCTAAAACAGAAAATAATATAAAACTTATAAATCATCACCAAGATTTATTTATATGTTATAAATATTCATATTATTATTTATAAATGTGTTGTACAGAACTGCCATATAACTGTGTTCTTATCCATGCATACGATTTACATACATTTAACACAATTATTAAAATTAATATCAAAATATAGCTTAAAAAGATAAAATTGAATTTACCTATTCAAATCCAACTGTTGATTACAATTATAACAAATCTAGAATATACAAAGATCTAAGTACTATTTTGTCTACTGTAACATAAGTTTATAGACATTATATGTTTGTCTGTAGTATTTGTGTTTTCTTGGCTTGAGATTTTGACAACTGGGATCATGACGTGATATTCTACAAAGTGATGATATAAATTATTAAATGTTGCCTACCTGATTATAAAAGCACCTCTATCATCTAATACTGCTTTATTATTCTTGAAAAATTCCATTAACTTGACAATAAACTTGGTAAAATACTGGTTCAATCCAGGTTTTATGTCAGAAAGGGACGTAACTTGAGTATTAAGATCTGTTTCTGCTGCTCCAGCAGGATTCGAAGAAACCTCTGCTAAAACTTCTAAATCTAATAACACAACCTATAATAAACATCAAATAATCAAAAATTTAGATTTTTATCTTCATATCACTACTTCGAGTAGTAATTGTTCCTGATGACACAATAAATACTTTACAAATAATGGTGTGAAATACATGAATTTAACCACTAGTCATTTATGTGTGATTTAATGGTCGAGACTCGAGAGCAAGACATTAATTAATATATGATACTGCACGAATGTGTCAGCTTGATGTTGTATTAATATATTACGCAATGTCTTGCTCGAGACCATTATTGATTAAACAAAATAAAATACAGACATTATACCGAAAGTGCATTTCAATGAAAAAGTCACACCAGGCCAATATTTCATCTACTATAAAATATTGTATAATTGGCACGCTGCTCCTATATTATTTGAAATAATGGTACATCAACATCAAAGAATGACTTCACATCTGTATTTTAAATGTATTTAATTATTTAGGATTCCTCACAATCATATTTCAAAATCTCCAGAAAAAAAAAAACATAATTAGGAGTTTGAAATTATTTTTTTTTTCAAATCAGATACTTCTAATAACTAACTTTAACAATCATACATAGCTTGGAATTTCCAAACACACCAGTCAGTTCATGTGCAGAGAAAAAAACCGGTTAAATGTGATATTCTTTCTTCTCTATTGACCGAAGTAAAGAACAAAAAAAAATCCAAGTCCCAACTAGAGTGCAAATGTCTTTTTTAATTCAAAAGTCTCAGAAAAGTTTTGAAATTTAAGAAAATAAAGTTTGTGCAGTTGATTACAAATTTTCATATTTCAGGAATTGATCAAATGAACAATAGTTGCTATTTCAGCAAGATTAAAAACCACTTTCATCTATTGATATAACAAGATAAATTCATACTTACATCATCTGAAGGATCTGATAATGTATCTAACAATAAACCAAAGAAGTCATCGATATGACGGAATGTCTGAAAAACATAAATATTTCCATTTATTAAGATCAACGAAAAGATTACCAAAATTCTGTGTTTTTGGATAACAACTTTGAACCAATTGCACTCAATAATAGAAGAAAGCCACAATGGCAAAGTGGGTAAGCCGCTGGCTCGCTAGCCTGGAGGTCGCGGATGCGCTCCTGGAGTTGGCCGAGACAGTTTATTGCAATTTTCCTGTGTGGTTTCCCCTTGTCAGTGGTGCAGGACGGGCCTGACAAGGACAGTTGTCTAGTCGTATGAATGGCACGGAAAACAGAGGTCCCAGGTACACATTGGCATGCACGTAAAAGATCCCTTGGCAGTTGGAATTTGATATAAGAGTAGGCATCAGCGCTGCTGTCCGGCAAAATTTCCCTCGCAGCACTTTGTATGGCGTATGCTTGTCTTCATTATCCCAGACAGAGCAGAACAGTAGGATGTCAAACTCCATTTCATTTCATTTCTCAACAATAGATTCAAAATAACATCTGTAATGCACCAAAATTTTGTGTATTTTTAATAACTACAATAGTAAGTGCAGGGGGACTGCACCACACAAAATTTACACAAAAACAAATACACGGACAAGACATCATACTTAGGAAAACACAGACAAACAATTAAAAAAAAAAGTGAATGGATAATGGGGGCTAGCAAGTAATAGCTTATGTAAGCTGTAGTTTACCTTATTAGGAGTTCTTGATAGAAGTAGGTTAAACCAGTTCAAAGCTGCTACTCGGGTTTGTACAGCGTCATTACTTAACATAGCTTTTAACACTTTAATAACAGAGGCTACCTCTAACTGTACAGCTGCAGGACTACATTTTAAAAAATAAAATATAGTTACATTAACTCTTGTAGTTTATAAAAGCACAAAAAATACATATCGTTATATTAACTTTTGTAGTTTATAAAATAGCTTATCCTATCAAATAGCTCTCCCGATATCCCAGCCTGGTAAAAATGAACTAAACATTACTTAGCCATTTGCATCATTGTCATACAAGAAAGTTTGTCCGTAAAGTCCCTGATTGTCTTTTGACTAATGTTTAACCCCTTCCAAACTACAATATTCTTAAAGTTGGATCTCTAAGAATTATCAGTCCAAGAATTTGAGTACATTTGAAAAGTTAGATATTTTCCTGAAAAATGCAAATGGCAATCAGTGGGATAGCCAAGCTGTTGGGTTATAAAGACCACAAAAATGTCTTATCTCTCCCAGAACTTCCTTGAATACTATCTTGAGCTTTTAATGGCAAGTCCAACAAGGATAGCAATTGCCATCTTTTTAATTCATATTAAATACTGATAAATGAGCTTACCTATTATCTACAGATTGAGATTCTATGGTAGGTGTTGGTAAATCGTCTTCTTTTTCAATTAATTTATGTAAACCTCTGTTTAACTGGTCAGCTGCATCTCTTACACTGTAAATAAACCAATACTGTGATTCAATACAAAACTTAAGTATTTAGACATACATTATGCAAGAGCTAAATCTGCCTATTGCAGGTCCTTTTGTAGGCCTGAAATGTTATATAAACTGTTAATTAAACATTTATTAACAAAACAAGACCATAATCAACTCTCGACGGCATCAGATACCCAGGATTTTAACTAGATCAGAACGGTTCGTCATTTAAAAATTTAATTTAAAAATGGGAAAGCGAGGCTAAGACTCGAATATACCAGTGCGCTTGTTACCACAATGCACACATCTTGTCAAAACTACAAACAGTGATAAGTCATTTAAATGAAATTTTTAAATATTTTCCTTTTACATTATATCAAGAACGGTCAGCTCTTTATCTAAATCTTACATAATGTATCTTTAATGTAATTACGTTTGCTACTGGGTTTTAGTGATTTCACTATTTTTACTTCAATTGGCACAAAACAGTTTCATATAAGCCTACAAACTAACCTTAAAGTTACAATTTCATAGTTTTAAGTTATATTTTTAAAATGTATTAAAATAAAACCTTAAAATAGATGGTATATATAAACAGTCCTACCTTGTTAAAGAATAATCCTATTAATCCTATAATTCACTATTGCCAGTTGAGAAATTAGCAAAAATATCATTTTCAACTTCAAATTCAAACGTTTGAAGGTAGCTATTCCATGGTGGGGAATAGGAAAACAAGGGAGGTAATTGGGAGGTAATTGTGTTATTATTTCCGGTGTGAAGATTTTAAGTGTGAGAAAGATAACCTATGATCGTATAATAGTGAGTTGACAACATAGAAATAATTATGTTTTGACTTCCTTAGAAAATATGAAATTGTAACTTTAATTAAATTAAAATTTCTCTGCAAATAATGTCACATATTCATGCTGACATATATTTCAGTCAAATGTGATTTAATCTAAATGAAAATTCTGAATTGAAATTCTAAAGTAAAGATCTAACCTACCTTCGTCTTCTATCATCTGTATATGCTAAACAAGGTAAAACAGATCCTAACATACCAGCCATATGTGGTAACATTGATCTACCCGATAATATAACAAACTCTCTCAACCATCTTATAGCTGTACATTGTATAATCTCCACTGTAATAACAAAATAGGTTTTTTGTGATGTGAGTGAACACTGAACTATAATGTGGCCATCTACATGCATCAGAGGGTCTGAAAGTTCTTGAACTTCCCATCATCATAAAAACATGATTAAATTCTAATTTTAAACCACACAGAATACCTAGCTGGTTAATTTTGGCTAATCAGATCTTGATCTGTTATTTTATTTGAATCATTTTTTGCAGAATTCCAAGATTATTATTTTTATTTAATTAAATCATGTTTCATGGAATTTTAAGATTATTATTAACTAAAAACACATTTTTTTACGAACATAATTACAAGATACATTATTGATATACAATATATTATTTCTGCTATCCACTTTGATTAATCTAAGATATAAAAAAAGTAGAAGAAATAGACGATTAGAAAGCACCAACTTACCAACATTTTGACTGTGTATTATAAGGATATTTGCCATGCTGGTGTAGTTAACACCATTTTTATCATTTTTTATTCCTTGTAAAAATTCTGCCAGTACATCATTGCATCTAATAAAAAAAAAATATCAAACATATTTCCTAGTAATTTGCCTTACTTTGATAGTGAAAGGGCCAGATTAATAAACTTTCCTTCTATGAACATTTTAACTACTACAATACGGTACACATGATAATCAAAATGACCTGGGATTTGAAATCAAATTATTGACACTTCATTTATCTAAAAAGCTTTTGAGACAACAACAAAAATTGTTGAAATTAATCAGCTGCACTATTGTCCTTTATAAAAGTATCAAAATATTGAAGAATGAAAACATACAATTTTCTTATTTCTGGACTGGAATCACCAAGGATCTGGAAAAGTCCATCTAAAATTTCTGGCAAGAGAACCAGCATATTTATATCTGGAACAGAATCTAAAACAGCTATCTATAACAAAAGGTTTAGGAATAAGAAACAAAGTATCCCTCAATCTGAAATCATTGGGGTTTTCTATACGTACAGTACAAACACCTTCCAAATGTCGCATTTTCTGAGCATGTTCGGCATACAACTAGGGCGAATAAGCAAAGCACCGAAACAAATTTTCATTGATTCTGTTAATATATTTCTTTATGTTTTATCTTTATATTATGTCCAATTGGCTTGTAAAATTACAATTCTAAGCTGAAGAACAGCTGGTCCTGCGACAATGTAGCTCATTGCTACAAAGTAACAGAATATGGTAGCCACTTTCACTTATGTGAAATCTTTACTAGTTGTTCTCTCCCCTATGTTGTTATAATTCTGTTCTAGGATTTTTTTGAGTATATTCTTGAAACACTGCATTTACTTTCAACTCGATGTGTACTATTAATTATTTGTTTTGGGAATTTTTTTAAATTTCATATATGCAACTCTATAAAGTAATCTGATCAAATGTCCAAATGGGAAGAAAATATAGGCTTACCCATGATACAACAAATTGTCTTGCAAAAGTATTTTTAGTGTAGATTCTCTCTCGCAACAAAGGAATGAAGGCAGTCAAGTCAAATGATGAACTTTCTGTTACAATATCCTGAAATAGATATAATAAAAAAAATGTGTCTTTTCACTAAATCAAAAACATATAAACTCCTCTACAATCATCGGCTCCTGCATGGGCTGGCTCATTAGTCTGTCTGACATAAATTAAATCATTGTAAGTCACATAGGGTTGTCTGCCTAATGTTGTGGGTTTTCTCAGGTTACTTCAGTTTCCTCCCAATACTAAGGTGCCTTCTTCACATGCAAATTAATCAAAGATACTTGTGTGTTTGCTTATCCCAAAATGACCGATACAGTGTGTTAAGTGGACATTTCTTTCTCCTCCCTCATTCTTCAGGGACTAATAAGTGGTGGAAGATAAATACTGAAATTTGTCAAACCTTTATAAGTCTGTCTAGTAATTCTGCTCCATTCTTCACATTTTGCTCCGGGTCTGAAGACAGCTAAAATAAATATATTATATATGTCAAATTAGATTTTTCCAAAAGACCAATGTTTTCAACATTTTCAAATATTGTGAACAAAAATTACAAAACCCTGAAAGATTATTTTTCCTATGATTCCAGACAAAAACGAATGATTAATATTTGGTATGGATCATAAACGTATAAAATTTAATCTCACACACTACAAATCCTCAGAATTAATGACTTTAGCTTAAATTTCTACCAGGATATATCAACTCAAAAAAACGTGACATCATCTTTCCCAGTTGATAAAACTTGGTGTTAAAAATATCTAATCTTCTTATACCAAATGATACCTGATATGTTTGGAAAGGGGGACGTACAATTGTTAGGGAGGCCTATTTCAATATACCATTTAAAGACCTACATCTATAGTAATTATAAAATTGAAATCGCTTTTAATTAATTAGATTACATGTAGTTTTGTCAACAAAATCTTTACAATTAGAGATTATTGATTTTGCTGTCAGCATCAGCCGATAATTCCAAATTCAGATTAAAAATGTTGAACATTCAACTGAAAATTAACATTATGTTGCAAGTAAATTGGCAATCCATTAGTGATACTTACTTTACTCAGAGCATCAAATATCTCATTAAAGAATGGTAGAACAGAGCCTCTCACTACTTTAACTATATTATATAATGCTTCACAGGCATAATATCGAACACGTGGATCACTATCATGAAATGAAACTATCACTGGTTTAGTTAATTCATTGATATACTTGCAACCTTCCTAGAAAAATAATTATAGAAATGATATATAATCATAAGACGGTGAATGTTAAACTGTCAGGAAATAAGATATGATTAATAAAACCTTTGTTAAAATATGATAAGAGGGTGTGTTAAATAGCCTACCCATATTACAATAAGGTTCTTTGATTTGCATTTAGTACTTGAACATATTAATATTAACACAAGATACAATTTTATGGATACACAATTACTGAGTTTGATATTAAGCTTAATAAAGACGAGAGTATCCTCGTCGTAACGTCGCTTAATATCAAACAAAGTAATTGTGTATCCATAAAATTGTATCTTGTGTTACAATAAGGTTGTTTAAAGAAATGGATTTGATTTTTTAGTTTGTCATACTTCTATCACTGAATATTTCTATTCATGAACTGAATCCTAATCACCTTTCCTAAGCCAATAGCAGTAGCTGCTAGTCCAATTAATCCACCCTTTCTAGTGTTTGGATTCTGAGACAAAGCAAAATCTTCACCAACAACTTTTAAGACTCTTTTAATTGTTTCCACATCATTATTTTTAACAGCATCTTTCATTAACCTGAAATAAAAAAGAAGGGTTGCCAGGTAAGGAGAAAGTCCCAACCAGTAGCTTTTTCATGAATGTAATGAGTAACGATGTAAGCAAAAGACCAAAAATTTCATGTTATTGCGACCTTGAATTTTAATAGGATATTCCACCAAATGACAACCCAAACCTATTTTCCAAGCAAGTTTGGAATTTAAAAGAGATGGAAGGATGTAGCCCATTTAAATATTTCCTCTCCTTAACAATGTTTAGTTCAGGATAAAGAAGCCCAAAATGTAGATTATAGACTACAAGAATTAATATACTACAGATGAAGTGAAACTTTGAGTCTGATAACTCATTATAACTGATGTCATCCAATTTGTAGCACCAGTATAGTATGGTAATTATTACAGAAATAAACGTTTGTTACTTACAGATATACATTATTATGTTCTATATGTCATCCAAAAAATCAGTCATAAAATTTATTATAACTCCAAACTTCCACTATAACTGGCTTTGATTATAGCATAAACCTTATTATAATCAATCTATTGTTTTAAAGTCTCTAACTCAATATCATCCACAGTCTTTGACATTGCAAACACGACTTATTGGTCAATTTAAATCAACATTGATGTTCTTAACTTACCGTGAAAAAATGGGCTTATGATATGTAATATTTATAAAATGAAAATTTTAAAATTGGCACACATGCCAGTATGCTGCCGGTTGCCATTTGTAATGAAGCGACTCGATGATAAAGGCTAAACATATCCCACAGGAGAATAGGCCTCCTACCAGTGTAGACTGGAATAACCAGACACCAAAGACTGACATTCATTTTGGACTCTTTGTGTATTTCGCCAAACATAACTGATTAGAAATTACAGTAAAACAGAAACAATTAAATGTAAATCAGTTTATGTACATTCATATTACATGAATGTACATAAGTCAGCTCCTTTAACTTAAAAGTCGATGATTAGGCCTATCCTATAGCTATAGCCGTAAAAATTTCAACAAAGAAAACTTTCTATTCAACAAAACAAATCAAGCTGGTACAACCCTTCAAAGTCTGTATCGTATGACATAGTAAGAAACCTCATCTCTAAACCCTCTGTGTTTCGAGAAATGAAATGAAATAAAATGGGGCTTAACGTCCTACTGCTCCAATTGGGCTAATGAAGACGGGCATACGCCATACAGTGTGCCATGAGAGAAATTTTGCCCGGGCAGTGGCACTATGGCATACTCTTACATCAAATTCCAACTGCCAAGGAATCTTTTGCGTGCATGGCAATGTCTACATGGGTCCGTCATTTTTTATCCTTTCCGAATGAACAGACAATTGTCCTTGTCATGCCCTCCATTCTGCACCACTGACAAGGGAGTTACATCTGGCAAAACCCGATGGGGATCACATCGGGCCTCAGTAAGCAAAATTGATAACATATTTCATCAAAACAACAATTGATTATTGTTATTCATAACACTTCTGCCACATTCAACAACAATTAAGCATATAATCCTACCTGACACAGGTACAAATCATGTCTTTTTTTAAATTGAAGCGATAATAGCCCGATTCTCCAGCATTTTAAATTTGACATCTTTGACTTCATGAAGGAGGGGCGTCATGTACAACAGCCAATCAAAGAAGGCCTACTAACCTGATATATGAGTTGCGCAGAAACAATACACCGTAATTATGAAGTTCCGTATTAGTTTTGATAAAAACAACAATGATTTAATTTACTGACAATATTTGTAAATAAACCAAAGTTGTTTCACTAGAGTGTGGTGCGTATGTTTAATAAGTTCTAATACGGTAGTATAAAATTACCGGTAACTTATTTTCAAGATGTTACATACATTATTATTATATACCGGTAATGAAATTAGGTTTGCCAGGTGAAACTAAAGGCACTCAATCGTAGCTAAAAACAAGCACATCAGTATATCTCAACGTTTTTCGCTACGTTCTGGTACCTCGGTATGTATGACAGTGTATGATGTTAGTGGCACAAACAAACTGGTGCACTTTCAGCTATTCCATGACGTCAATAACATACCGGTAATCCGTAAGTAAAATAAGCCTACCTTTCGATCTCCAAAGCTGCACCCTTTCTTTTATCATATAATTTATCATTGAGTGCCCGTACACACGAGGTGGTAAGGGGATAAAATTCCTTGTCTGTCATATTAAAATCAGACTGTACACACGACTAATGGTATTAATCATTTTACTTTACATTAATGCAACCCGCGTCCGCCATTTTGATCGTCACGTGATGGTATAGCCATTTACTACGGAACACCATTAAGGGTCAATCAAATGAAAAAAACCAACCAAACAACCCCCCCCCCCCAAAAACAACTAATATTCTGATTATCTTGTAATTAGAAGATAACCATTTTACATAACTATGCTATCTTGTAATTACAAGATAGTTGCAAGGTAACCATGTTGTAATTACAAGATAGCTATCTTGTAATTACAAGATACGGAGAAGCCCATTAGGGTCAATCCTACGAAAAAAAGTGTTCAAACTAGTTTATTTCAAGGTCGCCCTACACTGATTTATCGGATAACTAGGCCAACAAAGTACCCTTTTGTGCTAAGAGATCGACATCCAGGCCATGCTCCCATTAATATCATTCGTTATTTCATGCTCTCATTAAAAACATAGAACACCAACTTCATACTCACATTGATATATTTTATTAAATGATTCATTGATTTCATGCTCTACTTAAAGCCACGGAAAGCCATTTACGGTTTTCAGAAATTTTTTTAACCCAAGCTAAAATGTACACAAATTGATCATTAAAGATATGTTAAAGATCTGATAAAGAGCTGACAGTTCTCATTATAATAGTTAAAAACTAAATAATGTAAAGGGAACATGCTGAAAATTTCAGTCAAATTGATCCAGAGTTTAGCGACTGAATTTTCGGGGTAGCCTCGTTCATCGTTACTAAAGTTGGTAGGATAAAAAAAGAAGTCTCGATTATCCATTTCATGATTAAATTATGAATGGAAATCGAACAGCAAATCGGAACCTAATCCAATAAACATCGCAGGCTAGCGATGACATCGAGAGTTGATTATGGTCTTGATAAGTTAATTAATGTCTAATTAATAATTTAGGTAACATTTCAGGCCTAAAGAAAGACCTGCAATAGGCAGATTTAGTCCTTGCATAATGTATGTTTATGCAAGGGCTAAATCTGCCTATTGCACGCCTTTCTTTAGGCCTTAAATGTTATATAAACTATTGTTTAGACATTTATTAACATGACAAGGCAATAATCAACTCTCGGAGCCATCGGATGCCTCCGAGTTTTTAATAGATTTGAATCATATCTGTTCAGTGGCCGTTGATGATTAACCGTAAAATGTGATAATCGAGACAGTGTTTATAGACAACGGTAAAAATTACAATCGAGACTACAGTGTTATTAAACTGTTGTTTTCTCGGCTCATAAGTGAAGTAATTTGACTGACATTTTCAGCATAATATTCCCTTTACATTATTTACTTTTTAACTATTATAGCGAGAACTGTCAGATCTTTATCTGATCTTCATAATGCTGCTTTAAATAACAAATATGAACCGATCGTTAACCGAGGCCGAGTGGACGTGACAAGGATTAGGGTCGCCTGTCCATCCTCGTGGGTTTTCTCCGGGTCCTCCGGCTTCCTCCCACTGCTAAAGACCCCTACGCGCAAGCGAATTATGGAAATTAAATTGAACCATATGTTAGTCCCGAAAGGACCTAGTTTGTGTCGAGTGGACGTTAAACTCCATTTCTCTCTCCCTCTCTTAAAGATGATGTCCTGTACTTATACATTTTTTATACATTATACAATTCATGATGACTGGCTAAGACACTATTTAATTAATTTTGTAAACTTCTGCCCGTTTGAACAATCAAACCGAGAAAAACAACAGCTGTTCGCCAAGTCAGTCAGTTAGTGGGTCTTAACTTTCACTTTCACCTAGGGTGATATCTCAGACATTCTCGTTCACTAGTATATATCAATGAGCAACCAATTTTATACCTCCATAGTCCATGATACCATTATCCCTGCAGGACGGAGGGCCTGTCAAGAACAGCTGTCTAGTCGTTCGGATGGGACGAAAAACCGAGGTCCCGTGTAGGCCTTTATTGACATGCACGTAAAAGATCAATTGGCAGTTGGAATTCGATATAAGAGTAGGCCCTAGTGCCGCTACCCGGGCAAAATTTCACCTCATAGCACACTGTAGGGCGTATGCTCGTTTCATTAGCCCAGTCGGAGCAGAAATTACAGTAGGATGTGGAACCCCATTTTATTTCCATGATACCACGTAACTCCATTACGTTGAAGTGTCAAGAGGAGTCGAAAATAAATGTTATAATGGGGTTTAACTTCCTACTTTTCTGCACCGATTGGGCTAATGAAGATGGGGAAATTTGCCCTGACAGCTTACTCTTATATCGAATTCCAACTGACAAGGGATCTTTTACGTGCATGGCAATGTGTACACAGGACATAGGTTTTCATTCATTCCGAAAGACTAGATACTCCGTCATGCAGCGCTGAACTTTCTCAACCAACTCGGGGAGCGAACACGAGACCTACTGGTGGCTAAGTGAATAAGACGCTGGCTCGCTTTTCTGGAGGTCACGGTTTCGCTCTCTGTGTTGGCCAACAAAGTTTTCCCCTTGTTCAAACGACTAGACAGTCCTTGTAAGTTGATTTCTGTTCAATTTACTCCATCTTCACCAGCCAGGACCATATGTGCTGTATTCGATGAACAGATGAGTATGGATGGAAGCACAGATAAGCAACATTATTTGTAAGGAAAATTAATCAGATTAGAAAATATATCACAAACGCAACAAAAACTTTAATCAATTTGTATGTCTAGTCTAGAATAGTTAATTTCAATCCTTTGCTCTCTGGTGTTCTAAACGTATTAATTTATCAACTGAAAAAAAAAAAGATTAAATTCTGCAGTTAGGTTAATAACTTCAACCAAACGCCCATCTCATATTACTCCCATATTGTATATTCTATATTGTATACCTATTTTCTTTAGTGTTCAAAATACACCTTCTTCCTTATACGTGCTAGAATAACACCTTTCCCTCATAATTTGTCTGTGCTCCTTGAAGTTTATGCTCCAAAAAGAAATCTCAAATCTTCAACCGACTAGCGGAGTGGCGGGGGGGGGGGGGGGCGGGGCTTAACCCACCCCCAATAATTTGGCAGAGGGTACTCCTTTCTCCGGGTTATAGTGAGAATTGCCAGCTCTTTACCTAATCTCCCATAGTGTATATGAGAAGAAAAGAGGAATACAAGAGAACAAATTTCGGAAGGGTTTTAGATATTCATCGCTACACATCTTAAAGGAGTTATGCCTCTATCTCAATATTTTTTTTCATAATATTCGAAACTAAAAACACGAATTAGAATTCAATATTGATCAATTTCAAGCAATATTGATGTTGTTATCTTGGCGTGAAACTATAGAACCCTAATATCCAATATTTAAGACACAATGAACATTTTATAATCAGTATACGAGTCGTGTACCCTATGGTTTCCGGTGCCATTTTGTAATGAACAAATAAAAACATATCCTACAACACAATGTGGAAGTAATTAGTAAAGTTTGATTCACAAACGACAAAATAATAATTTTAAAAAACGTATAGAATGCAATAAGCAGGCGTAAACGACTGTCGTTCAATTTGAACTGTTCACGTTTTTTTACCGAACATAACTGATTAGAAATTACAATATTGTTTTTCAAAAATTGAATATAAATCACTGTACTTACATTCATACATTAATATGCTTTTAGAACTATTTTTGTCTATTTCAAGGTACCAAAAAATAGAGTCACACGCCCTTTGAAGTAGCCAAGTTTTAATTCAGTATCATTCACAGTCTTCGACATTGCGAACACGACTTATTGGTCAGTTTAATCAACATTGATGTTGTTGTCGTACCGTGAACAGATGGGCTTCTGATATCCAATATTTAAGACACAATGAAAATTTTAAAATTGGCACACGAATCGCGTAACAAAACGCTTTCGAGTGCCATATGTAATGAAGTGACTGGATGAACGAGGCTAAACATATCCCACAAGGGAAGACTATCGGAGTCGACTGGAATGACCAGACGCCAAAGAATGCCATTCAATGTGCACTCTTCGCGTATCTCGCCGTACATAACTGATTAGAAATTACACTAAAACAGTTTGTCTACGATATCACCTTAGGTGGAAGTGGACGTAAAACTCTAGAAACGAACGAACGAACACTAAAACAGAAACGATTGAATGTAAATCAGTTTATAAACATTCAGATTAATTTTTATATGCGTTGCGATCCGTTTGTGTCCATTTCTATATGCCAAAGAATAGCGATTTAGATCCTTTAAGTTAAATATTTTTGTATTCAATAATTAATACTATTTCTTTCAAGTATCTCAAAAATAACTCCTCTATTTTAAGGGGGAAAATGGCGCCTCCACTAGCTATGCAATTTCTGTAGACATTTGAAAGAAAATTATTCATTAATATCGCATAATTAAAACTGGTATAATAACATTGTACAGAAATTATCGATTAAAAGACTTGATTGATTTTTTTTCTTTTTGATATTATTTGAACATACTGAATAGATAAATACTTCTATTTTATATGATTTATTATTGCCTTTAGTATTGGCCTATATGTGTACATGTGTAGCTATACGCAACAACACAAGAGCCTATAAATTATCTCTAGAGGCTTTTCACTGTCACAAAGATATTATGTCGAACAAGGATTATATCTCGAATATCATTATCTATGGACAATATATTGTACTCTTTACCTTTTTTTTCTCTCTATAGTATTAACAATGCGACAATAATATTACAATGAAAGCCAGTTTGTGAAAGAGATATACACTCTCTTATTACTTTCTTTGAAATTCACTCCAGTCAAAATCAGCATGCGTTATAAATGCAGGGGACATACTTGTAACTTTTCAGTGTAATGCTGGTAAGAAACCGCAGTTCCTGATAAATCACCGTTTAACTCAATCAAAAAAGGTATAGTAAATATAATTGTTTTATTACTTTGTAAATGAAATTGAAAATCAAATTGTTTTGTACACCATGTTTTTGTATTTGATGGCAAACTGTACACATATTGCAATAAACAATGTTGTGACTTTAAAGAAGCTAAACCTCTGACTCAATATCATTCATAATATTCGAAATTAAAAC